TTTGATCAAAGCTACACAGCTTGTTTTTATCTATAGACGTCCCTTCTCTGCATCGGCAGTTCTTTGGTAATGGTGAACTATGCCGTTAAAGATTATATGAGATTTTATATCTACTTTTACAACAATCTGGGGTATATTAACACTTAAAATGACACTCTATTCGTCTAATACCCTGCTTGTCCATGTCTTGGTAAACATACATCAGTGAAATAAAAATAGTGTTTCATGGCAGGAAATGTAAACGTGTCTCTAGATTGTGTGTATGACATTGTTTTGTCTTCACATTTGAATGGATGCTCTTAACAAGTGATGTTTTGTGTTTCCTGATGCCAGTAACCAGCTATACACGCAGACAGTGGCAGGATGCACTCTGAATTACAGGTCAATAGGAGGTGTTTCCTATAAGTGTCTGCGTAAAGACCCAACAATTCAAAGAAACATCACATTATTGTCGGTCACATTTCCAGTGAAGGGACATTCAGGACACTATACTGCTTACGTTACCCATAGCCTTCAGATTTCAATTTAGTATGTTGAATGCTGTTGTGTTGCTATGGTTCACTGTGCTTTGCATTGTTGAATAACCCAGTTTATGTTTTGGATGGGCTATTATAATCCCTTCATTGCAGAATCAGGTCTGTTCTGGAAAAATGCAACTATAGTTCATATGTAGTCTGGAATACCAGAAGCAGGATGACTGCCAAATACTGTATTTGCGAAATGTAAACAGGAGCCTCATTTTAAAATACTTTCGACTAATACAAAATACCAGAATGTCAATGTTGTGTTAAAGCTTGCTAAAGTTGGAAAAGTTCAAATGATCCCTTGCAGTTGGGCTACTCCTGCACTGCAAGGGTTAATTGTTTGTTTTGCCAAGGGAAGAGAATTAAGAGCCTTTACTTACCTGACCTTCTGCTCCCCCCGGCAGATGACATTGCCCTACGCTCCATCCCAGTGGTGGCATCAACATGCCCAATGCAGGGCTATAGACCCTGCTTTAGTCTTGATGACATCAGGATCCTAGACTGCTAGAACATGGGGAAGAAGAGGCTACGGAGACAGGTATAGCAAAAAGGGAGTAGTATAGGATTGGGTAAATAATCTATTTTTCCATTATATCTAAATGAGCACATAACACTTGCAGTGTGGGTCCAGGCGCACTGCAAGGGGTGATATTTTAGTTGTGCAGAGTTGGGATCAAATACATATGAGGAAGCTGTTTTATGTGCTAACAGATTTGTGTTTTTCTGTTCATCCATTCCTGAGCTTTACATAGTTTGGCCTGCCAGGGTGAGAGACGTGATGTTTCTCAGGCACAGATAAAATATCCTTACATGCCTTGTTCTGCCCCCAGCTGGTGACTGGACAGTGAAAAAGGAAGCAGCAGACTGATGAGCTTATCTCCCTGTCACTCTGCTCTCTCCTCCTATTAGCATATTCTTTATTAGCATGTAAGCACAACTGACTGGTTACCCAAAATGTAACAGTGAGCAGTAATAAGACTTGATGTTCCAAACACAGAAACTACACCAATACCAATATCCACTAATTGCAGCTATGCTAGGCCAAAACCGACTGGGTAGGCACTGTCAGTGGTTAAATGACCAAAAAAGTAAAGGGGAAAAAGGGATTTTGCAGGATGGATTATGAGAGGAGCAGTCCTTAACCTTCCTGGTGATATTCCCGAGTGTAGCTCGGGGTTAACTTTCAGTACCAAAAGCGGTAACCCCAAGCTACACTCAGGATTACCCTGCACCGTTGTTCTGGGATCCCTCTTGCACTTACCTTGTCCTTCACTCCCGCAATGTCCCCCCTGCAGCATCCCCAGCCATCTCCTCCGGCCAATGCCGGCATCCGGGGTCCGGTCCCTGCGAGCATCGGGACAAACGGGATGAAACCGGTGGGAAATTAAAAAATGTTAAAAGTGACATTCACTCAATACACTAAAATCACATAGTATATCATTACTGTATCAAACCATTTCACATACATTTTGTCCCGAGTGCTGTGTCCTGTGCCCTGCCTGCATTTTTACCGTTCTTTCTGCCTGGAAACTGAGAAAAGTCCATGGTGTCCAAAAAGCGCTAGAGAACAGCAATAGTAAATTAGAACCACTTGCAAAATTGAGTGATAATGATTTGTGGGGAAATTCATCATCAGACACTGAAAATGATTTTGCGTCTAAGCTCAGTGATGTGCGAACTTGGTGCTGTATTTCAAATTTCAGTGTTTTTAGTTTGATTCTATTATTTAATTAAATTTATATATTATTATATTTTTTTATGATTATTTATTATATTATAATTTATGATTTCGTGTTTAAAATTTTATCATACCCGGGATGTTTACTAGACTCTTGTTCGGACAGATTTCAGTGAGTTATTCCTAAAAATTACAGGCCTACAATAAAAAAACGACATATTTCCATGCAAAAAAATGTACCGCTTTGAGCACAGAAATATTGACATAATCAGACCGCTAGGGAGGTTAAGATTGATCTTCTGCTTGTGTACTTAATGATAGTCTTTTGAACCTGCATACAGTGAGATGTGAAGAGGTGCAATACTATCTTAGCACAGAATGATGTTGATGCCGGCCAGAGGTGGTAAAGTTTGGTGGAACCATGGCTCAGAGTTAGTAATGGTGAAGTATAGATTTGGTAGAAGTGCGGTATAGTTTTGGTAGAGATGCGGTACAGGTTTGGTATAGGAGTGGTGCGGATTTGGTGAACTGGATACTCTGCTCTCAGTGGTTCAGTTCTTTTGCTAGCAGTGTAAAGGTGGCCCTCTCACCAACTTCCAGGAGGTAACAGTAGGTTATAGCGGTGGAAGGGCCCCCCTCACTCTCATCCTGTTGATTCAGTAGAGAGTCAGATGAATGCTTAGGTCTCCCTGTGGCAACTGAGCAAAAGCAACAGATCAGATGGTGCTGGTGAACCTCCAGTGATTCCAATGCCAACCTTGCACTCTCGCCTAGCCAGCTTGGCTTCCTACTCACAGAGAAAATGTACTGGCAGCTGTGTCTGCCTGGACTTTAGTGGTGGCCTTTTTCCCGACACCCCTCCTGGCTCCTCCTGCTGGACAGTCTCTTGGAATCTGTTTAGAAATTCAGTTGATCCTTTACATGGCTTCAGTCCCAGACTACAACTCCAAGAGTTCCAGGCACTCTGCCATAAAATCTATGGACTCACTTCACTTTAGCTCTCCCCCTTCCGGCTGGAAGAGACTGGAAGAGACTGATGTTGAATTATATTATTATCACAGTAGAGAGAGAGAGAGGCAATAGATGACAATGTCTCCTCCACCATGTTTTTGTAGTCCAACACCTGGCTACAAAACGCATTCAGGGTGATTGGAAAAAGTATATCCTAGTTATTTATGCTAAGGAGGGAATAAAGAACCAGAAATCCCTACAGTGAATCAGTGCATGGTGCAGCAAGGCTTTCTTTCATAGACTCCATGACTTAAGCCTTTTTGCAAGGCTGTAGTCAGCCTGAGCTGGATTGATTATATCAGCTTTCTGTGGTCTTTCCTGGGCTGTGATTATTGTTTGCTTCTACCTGCAACTGGGTAGTGTCCCTGGCAATAGTGTGAAAGGCAGCACTAATAAGAGTTATGAATATTTATATTCTCTTAGCTAACACTTATTGCCATTGGTGCAGGCTGTGAGAGGAGTATATAGTAGATGTTGAGGATGGACCTTGGAAAGTCGGTCTTTCCCCTGGGCCTCCTGCCTGAGGTATAGATGTAAGTGGCTGTTGGATCCTCCCAGGCCTGCTGTTGTCTCAGGAAGGTGACTTTGTGCTTGGAGAAAGGCCTAAGTTTGAGGCCTATTATGCTAAACAAGGGGACTGAAACACCATGAAGAAATGTAAGCCTACCAACTAGAGTCTTGCAGACAGGAGCTGTTTTCATAGAATGCCAGGTTGGGTTGAAGGTTCTCCATCTGTGAAGATTTTGAATATTTTTGTTCCTTATCTGTTCCTTTTCTGCCAAGTCTATACATGACCTGTGCCCTAACCCCCTCCCACAAGTGTTGAGGGAGTGTCCAAAAAATATTTTTTTGCATCTAAAAGTGAATAGCGCCCATTGTTCATATAGATCCACTATTGCCAAGGTCTAAACTCTGTGGTGAAATGGTTGCCCACCCTGCCTGTTATGTTCCTGAGGTTTTTTCACAGTACTAACAATTATTAAAACACCATAATATGTCTCATGAATCAAAACAAAATTTCACAATATACTGTATAAATCTGTCTCTACAACTCAAACTTCTACTATCTAAATGGAGAAAGCAGACAGATGCGACTTGTGAAATCGGACAGAAGCCTTACACACAATAACCTTACTCCACAACGATTGACTGCAGCATGGTTCATCCCTGTGGACACTATTTTTGAGCACAAAATACCTTGGGCATACATGAATAAAGTATATAGAACTTATACATACCAGCATATATGAACGAGATGTTTATGGCACCAAACTGGATTTATTTGTCATGTGGCACTTATAAACAGCTGATTGAATTTACGATGCACATGCCATTATACAACGTATATCTGAACAAGGGACTACAGTTGCATATTTATGGCATTAAATTTCATTTATCTTTATTTGGCATTTATCCACCAACCAAAAACTATGATAGCAATTCTTCTTGTGTTTCCTCTTTCTCTGTGTTTCTCTCTTTTTATTTTGTTATATTTATTTTAGGGGCTTTGGAACTGAGCGGAACTTGTAGACCTATTTTTATTTTGGTTTAAATATTATAAAATTTAGCTTTTTTTTTAGTGCTTTCAATTTTCCCTTTTTTTTAAACATTTACCATCTAACTGTAACTTAATAGATTAAGTAAAACATCTTTATAAAAAAAAAAAATTGGACTGTTGTCAAAAACCTACTACGCAGTAAACGAACACCAGCTATAATACGCTGTCCTTTATGGCCACTTTGCTGATACAACGTCGTTTTGACTTCTTCACATGCTTGTACTTTTAGGATATACTGTAACTTCTGCTTCTGTGAAGGGAAGAGAAATATACATTGCAGGACAGCCTCGATACAACCACACGGGTCAGGTTATCATTTATAAAATGCAAGGAAGAGACATCAATATTATTGACACATTAAATGGAGAACAGGTGAGTGTCCATTACTGTGACTTTATTATAAACTGATCTCTTTGGATACACAAAGTGGAGCCAGTCATGCTGTAGGTTGAGAAATGCCGGTTGACATTATCCTTTGTGATAGGCCACCAGGCTTTGTCCTAAGAGGATTTGGCTTAGAAATACAAGCACATTTGATTTGGTTGCATTTTGGCATGATTTCATGTTTGAGTTTGAATTTTAAAATATTTATAAGGCTACATGCACACTTGCTTAAAAATTACTGCTTCTATGGGAGTTTTGTGCTTTTGCCTGTAGAAGTATCTCAGTGTTATCCTATGTGTCCATGCACATTAGGATGATTAGAGGCATATTTTACGCTCAACGTTTAGAGGCAGGAAAAAAAAACCCTGCTGGTTTGCATTTTTGATCGGAGCTTTCTGGCAGAAAAAAATGCTAACCTCTCTTAAACTTGCCTAAACTGCGTCCAAAAATGCTTTATATCAGTGTTTATTTCTGACAAGGGAACTAACATTTTTTTTAGCCCAGTGTGCATGGAGCCTAAGTATGAGTTGAACATTTAGGAATATAACTATTAGGTCCTCTGTTTACATTGAGCCCAAGATATGCCTACGATCAATTTAGGTTATTTTTCTGTCTTTGTAATTATAATAACTAGTAGTGCAAAGGGTTCTCTGATTGGATGAAGAGGAGATTGTGATATCACCACCCCACCTCATCCAATCAGACAATGCATTGCATTCATTGAGAAAATGCTATGTATTTCTTGAAAGATGCCTGTCCTGAGCAACTGGCCTCCTGTAGTAATAATACAGTACGGCAGCTGCTCAGTATAGGGCCTGGAAACTAGGGGAGAGATTAATGGAGTAGCTATTCTCACTACAGTGATTTTCAACTTCCATGGGGATCCCACAGGTATGGCACATACATACTTACACTATAATGTCAAAAGTATTGGGGCGCACATGAACTTTTTTGGCATCCCAGTCCGTAAGGTTCAATATTGAGTTGGGCCACCATTTGCAGCTATAACAGCTTCAACTCTTCTGGGAACGCTGTCCACAAGATTTTGAAGTGTGTCTATGGGAATGTTTGATCATGGCTCACAGTCTCTAATTCATACCAAAGGTGTTCTATTGGGTTGAGGTCAGAACTCTGCGCAGGCCAGGTCCACCCCAAACTCGTTCATCCTTGTCTTTATGGACCTTGCTTTGTGCCCTGGTACACAGTCATGTTGGAACAGAACAGGGCCATCCCCAAACTGTTCCCACAAAGTTGGGAGCATGAAATTGTCCAAAATATCTTGGTATGCTGACACCTTAAGATTTCCCTTCACTGGAACTAAGGGGCCAAGCCCAACCCCTGAAAAACAACCCCACACTGTTCTCCTGGCAACTGACAAACCCTGACATGCTTATTGGATTGCCAGATAGAATAGCATGATTCATCCCTCTAGAGAACACATCTCCACTGCTTTAGAATCCAGTGGTGGCCTGGTATAAACCACTGCATCCGATGCTTTGCATTGCACTTGGTGATGTAAGGCTTGGATGCAGCTGCTTGACCATGGAAACCCATTCCATGAAGCTCTATATGCACTGTTGTTGTGCTAATTTGAAGGTCGCACAAACTTTGGAGGCCTTTAGCTATTAACTCTACAGACAGTTGGCGACTTCTAGGCACTGTGTGCTTCAGCATGCACTGACCCCGCTCTGTCATTTTACGTGGCCTACCACTTCATGGCTGAGTTGCTGTTGTTCCCAGTTGCTTCCACTTTGTTTTAATACCACTAACAGTTGACCGTGGAACATTTAGTAGCAAGGAAATTTCACGGATGGATTTATTTCACAGATGGCAACCTATCCCAGTACCACACTTGAATTCACTGAGCTCCTGAGAGTGACCCATTCTTTCACAAATGTTTGTAGAAGCAGTCTGCATGCCTAGGGGCTTGATTTTAAACACCTGTGGCCATGGAGGTGATTGACACACCTGAATCCAATAATTTGGAGGGGTGTCCCAATACATTTGGCAATATAGTGTACATTGGTCCAAGCTGGTATGTTTGCAAAAATTGCCGTACCTAAACTTCAACTTTAAAGATAAATAGGCGATACTTTCATTAGTTTTAAAAAAAATTCTTGTGATTGCTTTATGCGCAAATCTATAAATTAATATTAAATAATAATTTCAGTGGATTATGTAGACTTAAAGTGATACTAATGCTAAAAAAAGGTTTTTTAACCTTAATGCATTTCTCCCATAAGGCATTGCAAGTCTGACAGTTACAAGCATGACTCCCAAAGGTAGAGGCATGATGGGACTTGTAGTTTCGCAATAGCTGGAAGGCCGCCAGTTTGACACCCCTACTTTAATAAAAGCAACAAGCCAACAATGTACTTGTAGATTGATTGGCTTCTACCCAAACTGGCTCCAGTATGTGTGAAAGCTTTATAAACAATAAACATTACAATCTGGTCTAGGTACTTTGTAAAACTGCAGAATTTGTTATTTCTTTTTTTCAACATTAACATTTTACAGAGAATTTTCAAACATAGAGAATTTGTAATTTCTACAGTACATACTGTAGGAGGATTGAGCAGAACTGCATTTTGTATTCTGTTTTTTGACTTATCATTTTCCCTTTCTCCCCCAAACCCTTCTCCATCAATGTTATATTACACATGGTAACTTTATATTATGCTGATTGTATTTTGAATTCATTGTAATTCTTTACTGGACACCTTAATTAAAATATTACAGAATAAAAAAAAAAGGGGGGATTGCAATACTCTTTTAAAAAACTGCTTTTTATTTTTTATAGATTGGGTCTTATTTTGGAAGTATCCTCACCACAGTAGACATAGATGGAGATGCAATCAGTGACATTCTTCTGGTTGGCGCACCAATGTTTATGGGAGCTGAAAAACAAGAACAAGGAAAAGTGTACGTCTATAGCATTCAGGAGGTTAGCATTTTCAGCTATTTATGTGATTTGATAAGGATGTAGTTTAGCATTTTACTTATTAGCAGTCTAGCATCTGAATTCCACTGACCTCTCTGATAAGGCAGACTTCACCAAGTCAGTTGGACATGTATTCACGTCCTATGAATGCAATATCAGTACAAACAGTGGACTCAACTGGATGGCACAGGAGGTGATATCAGCTCATTCCTCAATAATATAAAGGTTTTTATCAAGCTAATAACAAAAATAGAGAGGCTTAGTGGTTAGGACTTCTGCCTTACAGCCTAGGGTCTCTGGTTTGAATCCTGGACAACATATAAATGGAGTTTGCATGCTATCCTTTGCTTTTGTGAATTTCCTTCCAGACTCCAAAGAGTTAATTGTCTAATCTGGTCCAAGTGTGTGAATGAATGCATGTGAGAAAGGGACCTTAGACTGTAAGCTCCTTGAAGGCAAGGGCTAATTTAATTGCAGCACAGTGGCTAAATGGTTAGCACTTCTGCCTGGCAGTACTAGAGTCATTGGTTTGAATCCCAAACACGGTGCCACCTGCCTGGAGTTTGCATGTTCTCCCTGTGCCAGAGTGGGTTTCCTCTGGGCACTTCAGTTTCCTCCCACACTCCAAAGACATGCTGGTAGGTTAGTTAGATCCTGTCTAAATTGGCCCTAATATGTGTATGTATGAATGTGAGTTAGGGACATTAGATTGTACACTCCTTGAGGGTTAGGGACTGATGTGAATGTACAATATATATATGTAAAGTGCTGCATAAATTGACAGCGCTATAAAAGTAGTTGAAATAAATTGTAGAGTATATAAAGTGCTCCATAAAGTGTTAAAAACTATATAAATACCACTAGAAAAGAAAACATCAGTTTAAAAAAATTACATTTTTACCATAAATTCATTATATTTTTCTTTTAACATTAAATACTCCCTAAGCCCCAACCTGAATCCTCAACACTAATATTTGACTGGTATCTCATAATCCCTAATCCATAAAACTATAATAAAACTGTATTAAACCCCAAAGCATGCATTTATTATATTGATGCTTGTCATTCCTAAGATGTGATGGCTGCATTCATTTTCTTTTACTTTCTTTCTTCTTCTTATACCTGGTGATCCAACCAAAATGTCTGTTGTTTTTCAAAAGAACATGCTCTCCAGTAGAATGTATTAGTTAAAGAATTGAGACAAACCATTTAGCACTAGCAGGGGTGCTTATAATAATCAGATTTTTTTTATTCATGTAAAATCTTTATCCCAAAATGAAAAAATAACTCTGTTTTAACTGCTTATGAAGTGTTAGCTGGGGTTTGGCTTCAGTTTGTTAGTGTGTTTAAATCTGCTAGTACATCTAACACTCCCCTCTCCTGAGACAGAAAATGCTGCTGTCCAAAGGGGCCCCCTGTGCTCCTTCATCTAGATTGGAGGCACTCTAATACAGGAGGTGTGTTACTGGCTGACTCAACAGGTGAAACCAGACAGAAAAAAGCCTAAGAAAGGAAAAGTAATGCAGTCATCACATCTAATGATTGCTAAGGTACAATATATTACATTTTTTGTTTGGGGTTTAATACTGTTTTAACCCTGAAAATTGTTAGTGCATGCCAGTCAGTGTACATTCATAATACTCAAACATAAAAAGGAGAATAATAAATAAAACCTACAAATACAAAATATTAAAGTGGATCTATATGAGATATATTTACTCATGTTTCCTGCGTATGGGCTAGATGTATAAGTGCATTACTAGTTAGTATTTATAACCTTTCATAGAGATTGAATATTTGCCAATGTTTCTCTCTGCCCCGAAGAGCTGGCACCATGTTTGCTCAGACATCATCTAGGATCAGCATATACTTCCTGAACTATAATCCTTCCCCTAAGAGTCCATTCACACTTGTGCGACTAGCGATGCAACCTTAGGGTCAAAAGTCACATGACAAGTCGTACCCCAAGTTTCCCAGGCAGTACTATTCAAATCTGTGCGACTTCATATAGCAGTGACTTGACAATAGTTCCTGCATTACTTTGTTACGACCATTGATGTGACTTTAGTCCAGTGAATGTAAAGTCGGATCAAAGTTGCACCACAAGTTGCATCAAGATTGTGCTCCAAAGCCACATTGGAAATCGCACAACTTTTGAGATGTGCTAATGTGAATGGAACCTAAGTGTCACAGTAAAATGCATCCTGGTTCTGCAGAGTCCTTTGTTTGTTTCATACACATTGTCTTACACCAGGTTCACACCTAAGCATTTTCTGCAGCGTTTTGCAGAAACACACTACAGTCCATTTAATATGATTTCCTATGGGAAATGTTCACATCTCCGCGTTTTCACTCGGTGCATTTTTTTTGGCAAGGGCCAGGGACTTTTTTGAATACAAAAAGTTCTTTTGCATTTTTGGTTCTATAGACTACAATGCAAACGCTGCAGAAAAGCATGTAGTGCGTTTTTGCTGCATTTTTGCCATGTTTTTGATGCATTTTGCATCTTAAATCTGCCTAGGAAAAAAAAAAAAACACAAAACACTGCAAGAACGCATGCGCAAAAATGCAAAACACGTTCACATCTCCACGTTTTCACCAGCTGCGTTTTTTTTGGCATTTTTGGTTTTAAAGACTTCAATGGAAATGCTGCAGAAAAGCATGTAGTGCATTTTTGCTGCATTTTTGATGCATTTTGCATCTTAAATCTGCCTAGCAACAAGAAAAAAAAACACAAAACACTGCAAGAACGCATGTGCAAAAATGCAAAACGCACTGCAGAAAAGGATCAAATGCAAATTGCACAGGTGTGAACCTAGCCTTACACAGTTCAGTTTTGTGCTGATTCTTTGTTATCAAAGTACAATGTTACAGTGTGAATGATCTAGGGAAGACTGGGGAAATGCCTGGCTTATCTGCAGCAAACAGAAGACATCATTTTTCTGGAATGTTCCCCTCAGACCAAACACATGGAGTTCAAGTACTGATTTTTAGCAATAGACACAGTTCCCCCAACCATCATGGATAAGAACAAAATCCTGGGCTACCCCAGTTCAAGGACATGTTCCAGAGCCAGGGTCTATGCTGGTACTGTTGTAAGGGAGTGATCACCTGCCAGACAGTTCCTACATGGTTTCAGCAGCAGAAGTAGGCAGGGTGACATGGGACACGATGTTCTTTTAGGAATGTGTAAACTGATGAGGGGTGGGAAGCAGGGGCGGACTGACCATTTGGAAACTCGGGCACTGCCCGAGGGCCCGGGGTCAGTAGGGAGCCCCATGAGATGCCCCTGGTACCTTTTTCATAAGCTTTTTTGAGTTTGGGCAAGGACAAAGGGGTCCCATGATCCCCTATTGCCCGGGGGCCCCATGAGTTGTCAGTCCGCCCCTGGTGGGAAGTCAATGACTTGGGGGAATGGCTTTCCGCTACTGACCAGCAATGACTGGGGAAGGGAGGCATATACTTCAAAACAATATATTAAACACCACAGATAGACTTGAGGCCATAGGAAAGTGGTTACCTAACAAAACCAAAAGGCATTGGCGCTAGCAACAAGTATTGATTAAAAATACAAATTTGTTGATACTCAAATTAAAAATAAGCTGTATATATATATATATGGCTCAATTACTGAAACATAAAAATGGTAAAGGACACCCACCACCACTATAAGTTCACAATAAAGACAACATTGTCTAGACAAGCATGGGTTTTGATCCAAAACAGATTTCTTTTTTGGGTCTTCAGATTAGGGTGGATGAGAGCTGCTTAGTTATTAATACTTTTCGCAAAGAAACGGCAGCAAACACGCTTCTACAGGTCAATAGCAACCATCCACCCTCTTTTTTTATTCTATTTTATTGTTTTTTTCTATTCTATTCTTTTCTATTGTAATCTTATCAAATCTATTCTATTCAAATTCAAATTTTTCTGTTCGAAATTAGAATTTCGGAAGAAGGTTATAGTCTTTCTGTTCTATCAAATTCTATTCTATTGTTTTTTCTATTATATTCTATTCTATTGCATTATTTCTATTCTAATCTATTCTATTCGAAATTTAAATTATGCAATTCGAAATTTGAATTTCGGAAGACAGTTATATTCTTTCTATTTATTCCATTCTATTGTTTTTTCTATTCTATTCCATACTAATCCATTCTATTCAAATTCTAATTTATTCAATTTGAAATCGGAATTTCGGAAGACAGTTATATTCTCTCTTTTTTTATTCTATTCTATTGATTTTTTCTATTCTATTCTAATCTATTCTTTTATATTGTATTCTATTTTGTATTGTTTTTCTAATCTATTCTTTTCTTTTATATTCTATTTTATTCTTTTAATTTTCAAATTCAGTTAAAATTTGAGTCAAATTCAAGACAAATACTCTTCAAATTCAATTTCGGCCAAATTTTGTTTCGTTATTTTGGAGTCGTTACTATTAAAATTTGGAAATTTGAATGCATCCAAATTTCTGAATAACAAAAAATGTGTCAGATTTGGAACGAACCGCACATGTCTATAACCTTAAATAGTGGCACGAAGAACCCGGAGCTTACGTGATGTCCCTATCCACCCAGAATTTAAGAAGAGACCACCCCCGACCTGGCTGATTGAATACCCCAGAGCTGAAGGAATGTTTTTGTGTGCCCATTGCTAGATAAGTCCTTATGTGGACTGTTTTGACATTTTTTCTGATGCTGGCGACATGAAGACAGTAAAGATTTAAAGTCTCATTAATTTCTCCACTACAAGGGTTCTGTATATGATATACAGGTGAAACTCCAAAAAATTAGAATATCGTGCAAAAGTTCATTTATTTCAGTAATGCAACTTAAAAGGTGAAACTAATATATGAGATAGACACATTACATGCAAAGCAAGATATTTCAAGCCGTGATTTGTCATAATTGTGATGATTATGGCTTACAGCTCATGAAAACGCCAAATGCACAATCTCAGAAAATTAGAATATTACATGCAGTCAATAAAACAAGGATTGTACATAGAACAATATTGGACCTCTGAAAAGTATAAGCATGCATATGTACTCAGTACTTGGTTTGGGCCCCTTTTGCAGCAATTACTGCCTCAATGCGAAGTGGCATGGAAGCTATCAGCCTGTGGCACTGCTGAGGTGTTATGGAAGACCAGGATGCTTCAATAGCGGCCTTCAGCTCTTCTGCATTGTTCGGTCTCATGTCTCTCATCTTTCTCTTGGCAATGCCCCATAGATTCTCTATGGGGTTCATGTCAGGCGAGTTTGCTGGCCAATCAAGCACAGTAATCCCACGGTCATTGAACCAGGTTTTGGTGCTTTTGGCAGTGTGGGCAGGTGCCAAGTCCTGCTGGAAAGTGAAGTCAGCATCCCCATAAAGCTAGTCTGCGGAAGGAAGCATGAAGTGCTCCAAAATCTCCTGGTAGACGGCTGCGTTGACCCTGGACTTAATGAAGCACAGTGGACCAACACCAGCAGATGACATGGCTCCCCAAATCAACACAGACTGTGGAAACTTCACACTGGACTTCAAGCATCTTGCAGTGTGTGCCTCTACATTCTTCCTCCATACTCTGGGTCCTTGGTTTCCAAATGAGATGTAAAAGTTGCTCTCATCAGAAAAGAGGACTTTGGACCACTGAGCAACAGACCAGGTCTGTTTTTCTTTAGCCCAGGTAAGACGCTTCTGACGTTGTTTGTTGTTCGGGAGCAGCTTGACAAGAGGAATACGACATTTGAAGCCCATGTCCAGGATCCTTCTGTGTGTGGTGGCTCTTGATGCACTGACTCCAGCCTCAGTCCACTCCTTGTGAAAGTCCCCAACACTTTTGAATGGCCTTTTCCTGACAATCCTCTCCAGGCTGCGGTCATCCCTGCTGCTTGTGCACCTTTTTCTTCCACACTTTTCCCTTCCACATAACTTTCTATTAATGTGCTTTGATACAGCACTTTGGGAACATCCAACTTCTTTTGCAATTACCTTTTGAGGCTTTCCCTCCTTATGGAGGGTGTCAATGATTTTCTGCACAACTGTCAGGTCAGCAGTCTTTCCCATGATTGTGATTCCTACTGAACCAGACTGAGAGACCATTTAAAGGCTCAGGAACCCTTTGCAGGTGTTATGGCTTAATTGGCTGATTAGAGTGGGACACTTTGAGCCGAGAATATTGCACCTTTTCACAATATTCTAATTTTCTGAGATTGTGGATTTGGGGTTTTCATGAGTTGTAAGCCATAATCATCACAATTATGACAAATCACAGCTTGAACTATCTTGCTTTGCATGTAATGAGTCTATCTCATATATTAGTTTCGCCTTTTAAGTTGCATTACTGAAATAAATGAACTTTTGCACAATATTCTAATTTTTTGAGTTTCACCTGTATATGTGTCCTTTCAATAAAAAAGTCAACTTTAAACCAGAATAGTTGAACATTTTAAGGATATTCATGGAAAAGATCCCGATAGTCTCCAGCCCAAAAGTATGCAAAAATGTATAACTGTAAACTAAAGGGCACTAAAGTGAAGGATCTTTGTGCTCTAAATTTGATTACAACAGAGGGTTGTTCAAAACATTTTGTTTCCATTGGTGTCAGTTACTTGGTCTTTGTCTTTAAGGTAAATTGAGTGCCAGTATGAGAGAACTTTCCATTGGGACTTTTGGAAATTCTGTTAAGATTGTTCACATATGTATTATTTATCGATATTTTGAGCACTACACTTCATTTATTTTATGCTGTTTACATTTTTTTGTCAACAAATTATGCAAGCTGCTATTGATCTGACGTGTCCAGACGCAGGTGTGATTCAAATTTTTGGAGACTCATACCTTTGACCACCACTGAGTATTTATAAACACAATTGCAGTTTTATTCCTTCCAAAACCCATGTCAGAAGACACTTCTGTGAAGGGAACTACAAAGGTTTATTTAAGTCTGAGGCTCTATAAGCCTGTTGCTTTATGCCACTCTCGGATCTCTGCCATGTGTTCTTGCTACCTTTGCTCTCTGCTGATTTAATTAAGCTATACTACTATGTTAAAGACTCAAGGATGTTCTCATGGTAGCAATCAATATATGTAGTGTATATACACTTACATTATACTCTATGATCTTAGCTATGGCTTCTGGTTATTGATATACATCATATCATTTTTTAGTGGATGTAATTACTAAGGGCATACTAGTAACCACTTGGATATTTGTCTATTATTCTTTTATTGCTGTTAGGGTATGTTGCTCTTCCTAGTGGTCACTACTGATACCATATGATGGTTGTGTTTTACCTATGCTTGTCTAGACAATGTCTGTGAATTTATAGTGGTGGTCGGTATCCTTTACTAATTATGGTTTGTTAATTGAGGCATATATATGACATATTTTTTAACTTGAGTATCAATAAATTTGTATTTTTAATCAATACTTTTTGCCAGTGTCAATGCCTTTTGGTTTTGTTAAATAACCGCTATCCAATGGCCTATTCGTGGACATGAATGTATTGTTTTGAGGTTTTGTTTTGATTATTTGGGACCACACATATTTTGTGTGTATGGGCAGGCTGGCTATTAATTGCTTCTTTTTGCTAAATTAATTTTCTAAGGGGGCATATAACTTACTGCCACCAACCAGCAATGGGAGGGAGAGATTAAAATTGAGGTATGAGATATGGTGGTCTTCAAAGTTCCGAGAGACTTACTTGCAGCCAATGTGGCAGCTTGTGGTGTCCACTGAAAGAGAACAAAGGGATACAGGAGAGTCCATTCAGTGTAGTTAGTTGACTCAAGAACGTTAATTATCTCAAAAGGTAGGGAAAAAAAGAAAGAGAACTTATGGGATAGAGACACACAACCTTCAATGTGTGCAGGTGGAGAATACCCTGTTTCCACACAGGATGAAAGGTGTTGTTCTTGATGCCATGCAGGTTCAGATCCTGGATCCTCAGTGGGTTCTCAGGCAGGTAACAGAAACTAGTTGGGTTTGGGAAAGTCTATAAAAACTCGTCAGGGGTCTGACTGGCCAAGGTGCTTGTTGTCATCTATTTAAGAATAGGTCACAGTCATCTGGTTTATTGAACATTAAATTGGCTTTGCTTACTGGAACTGACCACCAATGATGGAAGGATGGAGGGGGATTTTTTACTGCTAGTGAACACTAATACTGTAATTACAAGGGACATGTTTTTCCTTCCACTGAGCAACAACGTATGGGTAAAATGTTAAATACTTCTGATCTCTGCACTCTACATACCAGATTGTATATTACATATTCCAAACTCCTGTTCTCTGTATGCTAAGTTGCATAGACCTGATCAAGGTGTTTATTGTTGCAACAGGAACTGGTTGCTAAGAGATTTCCTTTTTTAAGAAGGCTCTATTTTATTTTGCCCAAAAAGCACTTCAATGTGGTTAACATGAAAATGATGTCAACATACTTCAACAATTCTTTATCACTGACCTTTATGCAGATTCTTATATAAATGAGAATCCACACTAATGGGAAACGCAAGAAGCGTCATAAGGGGGTTATAGTTTGACTAGCGTTGTGCAGAGATCTCTTTTTCTCAGGGCTGATGGACAGCAATAAATGCTAGCAAAGAAGAAGAACATTTATCACTCCTCTGAAAACTAGGAAATATAATTTAAAGTGATTGATTTGTCAAGTCTACAGTATATTGTCCTAGTAAGAAGATCATGTTAACATACCTTGTTTTCACAGGAGACTTTTAAGCATGAGATGAGTTTGGAGCCTATGAACCAAACCTGCAAACAAGAAGCAGAAAATGAACCTTGTGGGGCACGCTTTGGAACAGCTATTGCGGCAGTGACAGATCTCAACCTAGATGGCTACAATGATGTAGCTATAGGGGCTCCTTTAGAGGGAGATCACAGAGGAGCTGTGTATATTTATCATGGAAGTGGAAAAACCATAAGAAGCGACTATGCTCAGGTATGTATCAAAACTGTATTTCTTGACCTCATACACTGTACTTAAAGTCAGTAAAAGCTTTTGAGATAAAAGAGGGGTTTTGCTTTGATTTCTAACAGCGTATTCCATCAGGAGGAGATGGGAAAACAGTCAAATTTTTTGGTCAGTCTATTGATGGTAAAATGGACTTGAATGGAGATGGACTGACGGATGTAACTATTGGAGGTCTTGGAGGAGCTTCTCTGTTTTGGTATGTATTGATGTGAAGTCAAAGTCAATGTAAACCCTGACAATAAATTCTCCAATTTACTTCCTTTTGGTATTTTCATTACACAGTTGAAACCATTATACAGTATTGTTATACCCATTGATTCAAAGAAGATTCCCAGGATACATATTCGGAACAAATTGAGAACTAGTGGCTAAAAAGTTATTCTTATTATTATTATAATTACTATTATTTTTTTATCATCTATACATTAAGTGGCTCTACAAATACATTATGCAGTTCTTTTGTGCCACTCTGCTTGCTACTAGGGCCTGACTGTTCCTGACTTATAACCATAACCAGTTCTTGCAAACCATTTTTCCGCTGTTCAGTGAGATTACCATGGTGGCCAGTAAGATACACTTATTGGAAAGGTGGTTTGCGATTTGTAGAGCTTAGTATTGGAGTCAGGGAATGACAGGTGGCAATAAAACTGAAACTAACTTAGAATGGAGCACAGAAGACACTTTCCTGGTTAATAAAGGTAATAATCGGTATCTTCCAGGAAGGCTTTTATTTGTGAAAGTCAAAAATAGAGTACAGGTTTACTTCTAGTGTAATAAACCAAAACAAGCAAATTAGTATATTCATAATAACAGAATATGCTATTGAAAATAAAATATACAACGTTATACATACTACTTAACTTTATTCATTTCAAGGGTAAGTCCACTTTCAGGAAAAAAATTAGTAAATTAAAAAATAAGTAAGTAATATACAATTGCTACACTGTAAAATTCAATGCAATATGGCATACTGGAGGTGTTTGGTAAAAAATAAGTTGGTGTATGAATTACACCCAAGAATGTCATTTCCTGCTTATGTGATTGACTCACTGATTTTCCCAGAAGTCTGTATTAGGATACAAGTAAAGCTTTATATTTCCTCTGCAATAGGAATTATGTTTTTAGTGATATTCTCCCTAAGTTTTAATTACTTCTAAAGGGCTGCAGACACTGCAACACTCCTCAATAGAATGCTGAAAGAGCATCAACTGATTATATTGAACTCCCATTCAGTTATCAGTATTCCAGAGACATAGTGAAACATACAGCTTTTTCTTAGGAACAGAAACAGGCGAGACTCTGCTAAAAGGTTGTTAAAATCCTTCTATTGTAGAATATGTAAGGACAGAATTGAATATGCTTTTAAAATTAATGTTTTTATTCTAGGACTCGTGATGTTGTGGAAGTGACAGTATCAACACATTTCGACCCAGATACCATCAACATGGAAACAAAGAATTGTGGGATCAACAACAGAAAAACTGTGTGCATCCTGGCAAAGTATTGCTTCAAAATAGACCTTAAATCTGGTGAAAACAAGCAGGACAAATTTGGTATGCCTATGGTCATTTTTAAAGTAAAACTGTATTTATTTATTTATTTTTTAAACAATTTTTTTACATTTATTTGATGTAGATCTGGAATACAAAATCACACTTGACTCACATCGTTTTCTATCCCGAAGTCTTTTCAATAACACCAATGGAAGGGATGTTCAAGGTTTAGTCTCTCGAAGTGGCAATTGTGTAAACCACAATTTCTATATGGTGGCAAGTAATACTTTAACCATATTACTCTTACATGCATTTGCTTACAGATAAATGAGTTTTCCACTTTCAAGAAAAAATGGGCCCCATAGTTCACATCATTCTGGTCAACTTGCTGTGTAAAGTTTACTGTATATAAAACACATTTTTTTCAGTTTTGGATAGGGTAGAGAAGGTTTAAACCCACCTGTCAGGCTTTTCTTGTCACCTGTGAAGCAATTGGGAGCCCCTCACGTCCTGTCCCATGGACACAACAGAAAACACAGGGAAATCCTTACAAAGTGAAAGAAATTACCTCTTAGACAGTTGTTGTCACTGCAACAAGTGTCCTTATTGGAAGTTGTCCCCTCAATTCCAATTCTGGTGATGACTCAAAATGTTCTGTTTTCAGTCTTAGTTGAAATGATCACCAGGATAAACGTAGAGATGGAATCTCCCAAGTGGGGTCACAAACAGCAATACAATGCTGGCAGGGGTGCTGTATAATTGAAGAAAGTGGAAGAACAGCAGTGGACCCATGGGGTTATCTCACTAGTATTGCTATCTGAAAGTATTGAGGTTGATCTGGTTCCTAGGCAGGCAGCTTCTACACCCCAGAGGATCTTTGATTTGTAGTGTAATGTAACAAAAATATAAATTTAAGCACCACACCACTGCTAAGATGTCCAGTTACAACTTTATTCCAATAAAAGTCAGGGGGAAAAAGTACCCAATGCATTTTGGGGGTCCAAAAGTACTCCCTTCATCAGGGCATGATTGAGAACAACCTGAATAGACTAGAAGGGAACTAGTGTTAGTGTTAATATTATATTTTTCAAGGGGTTGCAAGCACAGACCATGTTGGTTTGACAAACGTACATACAGCTACACCTTCTGGCGTATGTCCCAACATGTGTTTAACATTTTCCCAACGTATTGCCTATATATAAGTATACAATAAGAGTACAATATTTCATTAGTAATTATCTAGGGGGAAATTCAAAAACCAATGATTCAATGCTTTTGTCAACTTCTTCAGGAGTACAATGGAGGTGTGCACTAAAATCAATATATCTGTCACATTATTCCAAAGCATACTAGGAGATTTAGAAATAGAATGACACAGTAACCATGAATGGGTCCTATTAATTTCCCTTTAAAATAAAAATCAATCTCAAACCAGACATATATGAAAGAATGAGATCTCTTCTTGAAATATATGTGTGAATAGGCTTGTGTTTTATGGAGCTTGTCAATGTGACTGCTATTTTCACATATGTGTTCTCTATTCTATTATAGGAAAAACCCGATTTTTTGAATTCTGTAAATATTTCTGTTGAGTTCAATTTTAAAGATCCAGAAGAAGGCCCAGTACTCAGCAATGAGCAACCAAGGATCGTAAATGCTTATGTAAGTACAGACTAAACAAGAAACTGCAGATTTACTCCAGTCTTTCTTCTGTTCTACAGACTGTCCCACTCTGTAAAAGGCTATGTGACTGCTTGTTAGGAGGGTATGCTAAGAATTTTCTTTGTGTTTCCCTATAAAAGAAAGTGTCTATGTGACTCCCTTACGTTATACATCAAAAAATGAGGAGTTTATTAAGATAGTAAGCAGAGCTATGCAAATTATTCTTTTATGCATCTGGGCCATCTGAGAAGCTTGAAATGTCTATATATAGTTTGGAAGAAACAGTTTGATAATATTTGACTCTGTCTGGGCTGGAAACCCGTACTTCTTGTTGGCTGAGGGTCATAAAGGGATGATTTACATTTTAAAAATGTGAATCAAACAGCCTATTTTTGGGAATTTGTGATGGAATTGAAACATGTAGGTGCCCTTTGTTTTTTTCAACAGTAGTACTAAAGGCAAAATAACATATATGATGCAATGGGGTTGATTTACTAAAACTGGAGAGTGCAAAATCCAGTGCAGCTGTGCATGGCAGCCAATAAGCTTCTAACTTCAGCTTGTTCAATTAAACTTAAACAATAAAACCTGGAAGGCGATTGGTTTCTATGCAGACCTGCACCAGATTTTGCACTTTCCAGTTTTAGTAAATCCACACCCATGTGTCACTAGAATCAACAAAGGCAGTCTTTGTTTTTCTGGGTTCACCTGTAGCTTAGTTTTTTATCTATTGATCCTACTCTTATTGTTTACCTTCCTTTAGCAGACCAAACTGTTTGGCAAAGTGATAGAGGGTTGAGACAAACCATTTACCACTGGTGGGAGGTACTTACAACTTTAATTCATATAGCTAAAACCTGAATACTAAAGTTTAAGTAGTTGATTAAAAAATGTAAAGTACGACTTAATCTACTAGTTCATCTAACTACTGACTCCAGACAATGCTTCTGTCCAAGGGTGTTTCTGTTGCTCCTCCATAGAAAGAGAAACCACCCTAAGACAGAAAGTGTGTTACTGACTAGATAACACAGGAAATAAAGGATATTAAGGATAAAAAATAGACAACTAATACAGCCACCACATTTGATTGAGAACCTGCAACACATTTTGTTTTGGGGTTAATACTGCTTTAAGGCTTTACTATATTTTACACTGTTTCAGTGGAGGGTGTTGTGGTTCCTCATGGCCAACCTCACCATAACCTGTATGGTTAAATCCATATGAACCCCTCGTGTATCACATTGTATTGGTATTGTTCTGTCACATGTTCTGTCCCCCTTTGTAATGTACAGCGCTGAGCGAACTATTGGCGCTTTATAAATACTGTATAATAATAATAATATAAGAAAGAAACATGTTTGGTGCGGACAGTCTGCTCATGATTACCATAAGGAATGAAATATGTGCTTTGTTTCCCTAAAAGGCTACTTTATGTATAATGACAGCAAATATGCAGATGTTTATTCAGATAGTCAGTGTCTTATCAAAATATACATAAGGTCCTTTTCCAGGGGATCCCCCCTGGCAAGGTGCCCCCCCCCCCCAATGTTGATAACATGTGACCTGATATGTTTCAGGGGGAGGGGGTAAGCACACTTCTATTCTCAGATAAGTGTCTGGATTTTGTGGGTGAACCCCATGTGGCGTGCCCCCTACCCTGAAATGCAAAATCACGTATGTATCCATGATTTTGAGCAGCCCTGCCACCCTGTAGCAGTATTTCTGCTATAGAGCGGCGGGAAAGCGGTTAAATGTTTCACTTCCCGCTGTAGCCCAAGGTTCAGCTTAGTCAAATACACATTTAGCCTGGCCTTTCAGCGAACCTCTGAACAAGCAAATTTTGGTCTGAACATGGGTTCAGAATGAACCTTGAGCTCCCCAGTAGCCAGTAGCATTAGTTTTTCATTACCTTGTTCCTGTGGTGGGAAACCGCTTTTATTACAATCTGTGATATTATCACCAGGATTGTAAAATGCATGCCGGGACAGCTGCTGCAAGCTTAGCTCCTTTTGGCACAGGATTATTGCATCTTTCAAAAGTTTTTTCCTGCAGAAAGT